AGGAGTCACCAGTAGCTCTGTGGTGTGGACCTGAGACACCCGAAAGAATAAAAATTCTAGATAAAACAGATTGAGGGTGGCAATACTGCAGGAAAATGAGTTCAGATTTGTATTTGTTAGGCTGTCAATTTTTACTAGTCATCCAAATGGAAATTTCAAATCAGTAATTATTAATAATGAGAGTCTGGAGTTCAGGAAATGAGAAATAAATTTGGGAGTTTTGAGTCAATAGATGGTATTTAAAAACATGAGACTAGACAAGATCACCATACTTTCTCATTGCTCTTAGAAATCCCTGCCAGGCTATAATTTAAAGTCAATTTTTTTTTCTATTCTAATCACCCTGCTTCCAGCTATATATTAATGAATTCAGTAATCCAAATACTTTTCTTTTGCATTGAGTGGCTTAACAGTTCTAATCATATGATTAAAATAAGGGTATATATTCCCATCTAATGGCTACTGGGTTTAACAAGTTTAGCTTTCCCCTTGGAAATAATCTCTACTGCAATCAATGAACTGGGTATCCTTGCCAAGCAAATCTACTGATCTGTAAGCAGAGTAAGACATGGCATGAAATGAGTGGGAACAAGAAGAGATGGAAGAAAATTGTGCCCATATGAGGAATGGTTAAGAAATTATGTGCTCTCTTATTTAAGAAACTATCAAGTGTGCAAGAGTCTGGGTTGCAAGGATTGAGAAATGGCCCTTTCCTTCTCTAAAATCAGATTCATTCAGAGAAAAGAGGGACTCGTTCATTGTTCTGGGAGCTTGAGAGGCTAGAGTTAGTTTTCATTTATTTATTTTTATGTGGTGCTGGGGATCAAACCCAGCATCTCCCACATGCTAGGCAGGCAGTCTACTGCTGAATACAACCCCTACAGTTAGTTTTATGTGGAATGATATGGAGGGGAAAATAGGTCTGGGATGAGACTTTGTGGGCCAGGGATATAAAATGTTGCATAAGGTCCTGAAGACATGAAAAAGAGAAAGCACGGGTGCACTTTGTTCTGCATGATACGGCTTTAATAGGAAGGTGACATACACAAAGGGAAATGCAATGGCAGGAGATGTTCCAATGACAGAGAGAGAACTGTAAAGCCATTGTGATAGTTCAGGTTAACCTGATAGGAACCAGGCATGGATCTTGAGGACTACAAAAAAGGGTACAGATGCAGGAGACATTTCAGGAGCGAAAACAACAGGACACACAGGCTGACTAAGCATGAGACCAAAGGGCGGTAGGGAGAAATCAGGGCTGGTCCTCCATGAGGCTGCTTCTAGTGAGCGAGCAACACAGCACACAGGACTGAGGACTAGGTCTCAGGAAGGATGGTCATTACGGTTTTAGAAATGAAGTACAGTTTCTGACGGCAGAGGTAAGAGGGTCAGGAGACCCCTGTGAGTGTATTTGTAGGTTGGAAGTGGAGGCTCAGATASACAGACTTGGGAATCAACCTTCTGAGAGGCAGTAAGAGAGAAAGGAACTGYCAAGGAGACTGAGGAACAAGGTAGCTCCCTGGATGTCCCACACATTCCCCTCAGAAGTTATCTGATCCCAGATGGTAGAGTGGTAGTCTATAATATATATAAAAGCCAATGCTTATTTATAACAACATATTTGTGCCTTAAAAAACACACTTCAGGCCTGTGAGCTCATTTGGCTCACAATAGAAGCCCATGAGATAGTGTTTTCATTTCACTTTATAGACGAGGGGACAAAGAGAACTTAGGAGGTAAGTTCTCCAGGAGGTAAGTTCTCCAGTTGGATGGAAGGAGGATTCAAGCCCAGGTTTTCTGAGATCCTATCCTCTGTTCTTTTCACATAGGGCCAGTAACACTGTAGACAATGTGGGGGAAAAAGGCCAAAGTTCTGAACTGACCCACAAGGTTCTGTGTGATTTTTTCACCTACCTATTACCTCTCTGATGGTCTCTTCTACTGTTTCAAAAAAAAAAAAAAAAAAGAAAGAAAGAAAGAAAGAAAGAAATACTCCTATATAGCTATCCTTTCTCCTTAAACTTGCAGACGTTAGTTATTCTACCTTAGGGCGTACACTGGATACTCTTTCCTGTCACTTTCAAAATGAGATCCACCACTCCATCCTCCTTGACATTACAATATGCTCTTATCACCTTTTGACATGCCATCTAGCAAACCCACATGTGACTACTGTTTGTTTCCTTTAGCAGGCCCTGGGAGTATGGCAGGGTTTTCCCATTTTCTGCATTGTGATATTACAAACACCTACAACGATGCCTGGCATATTGCAGAACACAAAGCTCATCAACTCCATGAAGGATTTGGAGCAAGAGGCATCCACTGGGAATGGCTGCTGAGAGAGCTCTTCCTGTGTGTGCTTGGGAAGGCAGCTGCAGTGGGCTCTGGAAGGAACGCTAGTGGGTGCTGGGGAGGAAAGGCTGTGACCTGGGCAAATCTCTTAGGAAGCTTGGTGGAGAAGTAATAAAAGGGATCAGAAAGTGGATAATGAGTCAGAGTACAAATGTAGAGGGAAGAAACTCATAGAACTGGCTTTGTGGTTAAAGAAACCATGGATCTCAACTACACCTCATTCAAGGGCATTTCCAACATGAAAATCCAAAGCCAAGGTATTTGGAATCAGAGTGGCCTTTGCTGACCATTGGAGGTCCATGTTGGAACATCAGAGAGATTAAAACATTCTGCCAGAGGCTATGTTGCCATCTCCAAGTACCATGCAACATCCGAGATATAAAAATAGACCCAACAAAACATGAGAATATTACATCTTATGATTTAGATAGAGCTTCTGGTAAAAAAAAAAAATAGAGAAATGTGACTCATTCTGATAAATGTCCTCCAATGTTCCTGATCCTGTCCAATAAGGCAGAGGGAGGAAAAGGCTGGAAAAGGAAGGGACCCCACAGTCATGACTAGAGATCTGTGTGAGGTAGTTATGAAGTTTATTCAGTGGGTAAAACAGTTTTCTGGTACTAATGAAGAATACAATAAATAAATAGGGATATTTGTGTGTCCAGAGACAAGTAGTTCAATTAGAATTAAGGTCCCATGTGAGTCCTCCTTCCCTTGGCATGTAATAGCCTGAGTCCCTTCTCTGGACCTCAGAGAAAGTATGTTACTTGCTGAAAGAGGGTTTAGTGGCAGCAAGTCTATGGACATTATCTTGTGGTGTATAATATACCACAGAAAGACAGTTGCCTTGGTTTTTGGAGTCATCCACCAGGTCATGTAATAACTGTTATATGTTGTTGTTCATACAAATCTCTGCATCCTTGTGTTCCACATTCTTTTGGATACAAGGGACACTTTTGGGCAGATGGGACTATGTGAAGATTGTAGTTTTGGTTTTAAATGATTGAATTCAATCTTTTGAGGTCTGTTGATTATCTGTAAAATGATATTTTGAGCCATTCTGTGTTAGGCCCTGTGTTAACAGCTTATCTCATTTCCCTTGACAATCAAGCAGTGATATTGACAGTTCTGTCTCCTTATACAGATAAGGAGCCTAAAGCAGGCTACCCAAGGCCATTCAGGTATGAAGTGTTAGATAAGGACCAGATCTGAGTCTGTCTACTTTGTAATGTGGTGGTTACCCATTTGAACACAGTTGTCTCCTGTTACATAATCAGAGGTCATCCTCTGGTATGTTCCCTTCCTCCCCATAGTCCTGAATCTTGAGAGGACTGTTCCCACCAATCCTCAGGTAATCAGGATTCAAAGCTGGTGGGCGGCTTTTATTTAAAAATCACTACAAGATTGCACATTTTCAAAGACAGGAGCCCCCCTTTCCCTCTCATAAACACTAGCATTCTTACCATCTTCTTTTTCCCTCTCTGTATGGTGGGACAGATCTTAGCTGAATGCCACAGCCCACAATCTATTATTCTCTCTTTTTTAAAAATGATACACCCTAATGTGAAAATAGGAGTCACTGTCATTTAATTTAAGCCCATTCACTTGTAGAAAGATACTAGTCCAGGACCATGGGGTGAATCTGATGATAAAAATCTAGAAAAAGCCAGATCTGTGTTGACATTTTTTTTTTATTGCTATGTGTGTTCCCAATACAACAAACAGCATCAGTAGTGTACACTTTAATAAAAAGGAATTTTTAGCTTAGTAGAAAAGGAAGCTCAGAAGTATAATGAATATGTACATCTTTATGAGAGGTGTATGTGTGTGACCATCTGTATATTCCCTGTGGACAAGACGTATGCACACGCAAGTAAACTAGAGAGAATTTCATTCCGGGGAGACTTTTAGGGAAAATAAAAAATGATTTCTATTTAAGGCCAGGGGATTATTTTACTATCTGTCTGGAACTCTCCTTTAAAATTCTTGCACAAAGTAGCAGCGATTCTTTAGAGGTATAGAGTCAATGGCTTCGGCTGTTATTTTACAACAGTTAAAATGCAGAAGTCTTTGCACATTCTGTGCTTTGAGAGGTTAGCATATCTGTATTTTAATTTGCATAATGTGCTTTTAGGCAGTTGATGTACTGACCTCAAAAACATTATGCTGAGAATACATTCCTGAAGTAACTAATTCACTATTTCTTTGAACGGGAATAAGTCATCAGCTCTATATGAACTATTTTAAAAATGCAAAATTTTTACATCAAATTTGTTCAGTTTTAGCTTTTTGCATTGGCTGTGGTAGTTTGCTTAAATTTCTTTTCTATGCACAAAACAAATGCATGCTAATTATCTCTCTAGTTTAYGAAATATCATTGATATTAGCGTAAATATTTAGTACATAAAAATACTATCAAGAAAACAAATCAACTTTTAATAAATATCTTCGGTTCTGAATTCTATATACAAGTACTTTACATCTACTCCCTGGAGAGAGCATTTCTGGCTTTGCTGTGAGCAAGGTGATCACTGACATAAATTACTAGTACATTATTGCAGTCAGATGCATTGTGGTTGTGAACATTTGGATATGAACCATGCAGAAAATAAATATCTTAACCATTGACAAATGCTTTCTTGAACCTTCCAAAGCAGTACTATCCTTGAGGATCAATTCAAGTTTGATGGTATTTTCTCAGCTACCAACACACAAATCTTTCCAGAACCTTTTTTCTTTGTGATTAATATAGTACATCAAGTATAACTGTTTGTATACCAACACTAGGAAATTAAACAACATAAGAACACAGGACACCTCAATGATGCTTACAGAGGTCCTGGCAAGAGGGTTTTGGCTTTATCTTGCTCATTCACTGTTCTCTGTGACCAAAAGTGTACTCTGACACCACTCCTAATTCCTTTTAATTACAGGATGGAAGGCAATAGGTAAAGCAAGACTTACAAGTCTGAAGCTTCTGTTTTTTTTCTTTTTCTATAATTTAGGTATCACATTATTGATTCAACAAAAGTCATACAACAAAACCTCTTGCATTGTCGGTAGCTATGATTCTAACTTCTCAACATTCTGCCTTGAAAATCAATCTATGGAATGTAAAATAAGGCAATACTCTATGACAGGCACCTAGAACATCCAGAAATGTAAGATAGTAAACAATCATTTGAGAACATCTCTTAAAATAATACTGATTTCTGCAATATACAGTATTTACACAACAGCTGCAAATTTGCTCATACAATATTTCTAATATAGATAAATAGGAATACAAGTCTATGAATTCTCTGCTCCATTTCCAAAATTTCTTGAAGTGTAAACTGTTGGCATCTCTTTTTAAAATGTTTACTGTAACTTTTTAAAACAAAAATCCAGCTTATATGCACAATTGATTCCAGTCCCTTTTCTTCATTAGAGAGTGACCAACACACATAGCAACCTATTTTCCCGGTTAGTAATCTTTGGTGCTTTCTTCCAACGAATTCTGGTGAATGAGTCAATGCAGAACAGGAGGAGGATGAAAGCAACTAGAAAAGTGAACCAGCACTTTTTGTTCTTTCACTTATGGATAAAATGAATTGGCGAGCTATGGAGATTTTCACTAAGTTGTATGCACCATGTGGAGAGGGAGGTTGTCCAGGTTTCCCTCTGATTTCTACCCTTAAAATTTCACTTTTTCATCTTTCTAAGGTGGATGATCTTATCAGACGTCTCTTGTTAATAATCTTTTCATCTTTCTTTGAGGTTCTTGCCTGAGAAGAGGCACCTATTGAATCACTGACTGCCAGGAAGGAAGCGGCCGCCCTCTGTGAAGCAGAATGGAGGTGGCCACTCTTGGTGGGTGAGGAGGGYGGTATTGAGACCAGGCTCAGTGTCTTACTTCTGGTTTGCTGAGCTCTCCTTTGGGGTAAGTTAGCACCATCAGTTTCACTGTTCAGCCTGAAAGCAGCATATGCATTTGGACTCTCCACTGCAGAGATGCTACTCAAAGACTTTTTCTCAGCAGTAGTAGCAGGGAAAGGTGTAGGCATCACTAGAGATCCAGGGAGATCACTGGGACTGAAGACTGCATCATCATGAGCTTCAGCAGCTTCTAGAAGGTATGGTGGTGGCGGGGTACTGCTGCGCTTGCTACATGACTCGCAACAGAGCTTGTTATAACCTGGGATGGAGCAGTATCGTGCCAGCACTTCCATCTGACAGAATATGGACTTGTCTCCCAGACATGGCTCATCTGCAAAAAGAAAAGAAAAAACAATATGCATCTCTAAACATAAAAGGAGAGACAAAATTAAAATTGTTCATAATTATAAAATCTGACATCAATGGGAGCTGTCACATGAGCCTCTGCATTAAAAATATGAACATTAGGATGAATTTGCTGAAATCGGCAGTCTTACCTACATTATCTACAAAGGATTGGGATCTTCAACTTTTTAAAATCTCTAACAGACCACTGAGGATAGTTTTTTCTTCCAAGTATATCTTAGGATAAAAAGGGGCATCTGTTGTTATGAAAATTTATTAGACTGTATTTCTGRCTTTCTAATAGGGTACCCTCTACATTAAAATCAAACACTAGAGATTTTTTGGAATAAAGTAATTCTTAAGAGAATGTAATACCAAAAGAAAAATGAAAATACCATTTTGATAAAAAGAATATTATCCATCTTGAATGCCATGGTCKTATGTTTGCCATTGAATTTTTTCAGATTCTTATTGGAAAGCACAAATTTGGGTAAAATTTGTCAATTTTCTCATAAGTTTATTCAGTAGGTCAAACAGTGTCTGGTACTAATGAAGAATATTCCATTATAGAAAACTTGGAATGGAACTACCATTTGATCCCACTCCTTGGTCTATACACAAAGGACTTAAAACCAGCAAGCTGTAGTAACACAGACACATCAATGTTTACAGCAGCTCAATTTACAATAGCTAAACTGTGGAACCAACCTAGATGCCCTTCAATAGATGAATGGATAAAGAAACTGTGGCATATATACACAATGAAATATTACTCAGCATTAAAAGAGAATAAAATTATGGCATTTGCAGGTAAATGGATGGAGTTGAAGAGTATCATGCTAAATGAAGTAAGCCAATCCCCAAAAAACTGAAGGTCAAATGTTCTCTCTGATAAGTAGACACTGATCCATAATGGAGGGGCAAGGGAAAAATGGATGAATTTTGATTGGGCAAAGGGGAGGGAGGGATGGAAAGGGGCATGGGATTAGGAAAGATGGTGGAATGAAATGGACATCATTAACCTAGGAACATGTATGACTGCACATAGGGTGCGATGCTGTACAACCAGAAAAATGAAAAGTTGTGCTACAACTGTGTGTAGTGAATCAAAATGCATTCTGCTATCATATATACCTAATTAAAATAGATAAATAAATTAATGATAATAAAAAATCACAATGTGTTGGGAAATAGCATATTTCTGCTACTTGCCAGAGACACTGAAAAGAAAAAACAAAAGGCCCCAATTGTGGGATGATGCATGGCTTTGACATTCGCAGGCCTAATATATACTATGTGTTTGAATTCTTCATATTATCTGAGGCCATAATCTACGTACAATGGGAAAGCCTGAGGATTACATTAATTGATTTCACTTAAATATCAATTCCTCATCATTTATGAATTACTTTTTCTATGCCTGCATCTTAAAATAAGGAAATCTCTTCCAGTATGTTCAAGAGACCTTAATTGAAAGACTTGTATTCTCTTTCCTTTGACAATTAACCCATCTCCTCTGTTTGAAGGCTTACCTTGGAGGTATGACCTGTCCTGTGTTAGAGAAGGACCCCATGTGAGAATCCATAAGTATGAGCACCATGGCACTGCAGAGATCCATCAGAGCCAGAATGTGCTCCTTGGGGGAGGAGGTAAAGGGAGGGCTATAAAGGAACACATTAACTTTATGGTAATTTGGGCATAGATGGGAAGGGCTTCAGACCTGGTCACAAACGGCCATTTTTCTCCTAAGAGTAGCTTAAGACTCTGAGGGGGATTACTACATATTTGGCAGAAACCAGAATTGATCTTTAGGCCAGAGCAAAAGAGCAGCTGAAAGAACCGTGGAACCACTAATCTAGTTATGCTATCTCCTTYGCACCTAGGTTTTACAGTAAAGACATTTTCTTCTGTATGAAGGAGAATCAAGCAAAATCTTATTGGCTCTTGGACACAGTTCTATCAGCTATCGTGACCAATAAAGCTTACAAAGTATGCAGCCTCTTGACAGCAGTAGCTATATAAGGACAAAATATAATGACAGTAAACTGAAAGCTCAAAACCCAAGTCAAAGCAAAGAGCATTCCCCCTTTCCAAAGTGATCAAATGTTAAGTCCTATGTCTCCCCCTCGTGGTCATACTTGTTCTTGCCATTTCAAGTGAAAATTTTAAAATTATGTTTAAGGCTTAAAGACATGAAAGTTGAAATTTTTAAAACATAAAATATTCGATAAAATAGGCCTGGCTGCTTTTCTTGGATTAAAAAAAATAGCACAGCAGATGTTGAGATTCACCTCCGGGCTTCCTTATGGAGTTGTAGGCTGCAGGAAAAGCGACTTGTTTAGTCCTGAGACTCACCAGTGTTTCAAAGCAGTGGCTGCTGTTGTYATTGATCAGGCATGGATGTAGGAGAACTGTTCTTAAGAGGAAGGTTGTGGCGCAGGAGGATGAGCAGGGAAGGAGAGAAAGTTCGAGACAGTGAGAAGAGAACAGAACCGTGGAGGGGATAGAAGAAAAGAGACCTAGAGTAGAAGAGATGGAGGAGTCGTGACAAGGGGGCTGAGAGGAAGAAGGCAGTGTGTCCCTTCAAGGTTCATGTGTTGGAACATGACCCTAAAGGTGGCAGTATGGAAAGGTGGGGCTTTTAGGAGGTGACTAGGTCACAAATATGGAGCTCTTTATGGGATTAATGCCTTTATAAAAGGCTCCAGGGTTCCTCCCCAGCCTCATGTGAGGACAAAGCCCTTACCAGACACAAATGTTCAGGTGCCTTGATACTAGACTTTCCAGTCTCCGGAATTATGAGTTATAAATTTTCCTACTTAGAAATTACCTGGTCTGAGGTATTTTATTATAGCAGCTTTAATGGTCCAAGACAGCAAGGGGAGACCAGGGAGAGGGAAAGGTGAAGTTAGGGAGACTAGGAGGGAGAGAGAGAACAAGAAGAGGGTTTATACCCATCCCCCCTAAAAAGCATGTATGATGGTAGACAAAGAGAAAGTGAGTGCCACACAGACATTATGTCTGAGATAGAGAGCAAGACAGGCACCAAGAAATCAAGGAGGGAAAGAAATAGTTGTAAACAGAGAAGCAAAGGAGGTGGAAGGAGAGAGTCTCATACAGATGGAAACTATCCAATACATTTTTGTTTTAAAATTGCAAATAAGTTAAATAAAACGAGGTCTGATTTTGCAATACAGTGTTGGTAGATCAGGTAAATGTCTATCTTGAAATCACTCCGTATATTAATGGACAGTTACTGTAAATGACTATCAGGTTGAGTAACCAGTTACTATCTTCATGCTTAAACATTAAATAATGTTAGTAATATATATCAAAACCTGGTTCAATGTTAACCTTTTTCAATGATGTGAAATTAAAGAACATAATGGAAAATAAGCAGTCCCCCCCATCCTAAATAATTCTCAGACTAATATTTTAAGGATGTTTTCTCTTGGTTATTATCTTGATAAGCAAATATAAATTCTAGAGCTTATCCTGAAAAGAAATTCTGCTCTTTGCGATTCAGAAACGTTATCAGAGCAGTGAAATCAATTAGTATCACACCTACCATTACAGGGAGGCAGCTGACAGGCTCTGACGGACTCCGGTTTTTCACCGTCGCAGTGGTCTCCAGCCCTGCACAGGACCTGCCTCACCTCTGTTCCTTCACCGCAGGTCACTGAACACTACAGAAACAAAGGCTGTAACTATAGAGATTTATTCCACCAAGACTGGACATGCAAGGGCTCACAGGCACCCACGTGCAGACCCCTCAGCTCTGGAGTTCTTTCTCTACAGAGGTGGTGCTGTGTAGAGACTCTGAAAACATTGACAATCCTGGGTTTATACCTTGGCTGCAGCAGTTACCAGCCTGAGCACATTGCTTTTTCTTAAGAGCCTCAGTTTCATCATCTAGAAAGCTGGGCTCAGAGGATCTTTATAGGTCTAAAGGCCAAGGAGGCAGTGTGCCTAAAGCAGAGGCAAAGTGCCTGCATGTAAGCATTCCATAGGGAAGAAGCCCCCGATGATGATGATCACTGATTCTGCTCTTTCCAGGGAGCCAGGCATGGTGTGGAGTGCCCCATTTCATCTTTTACACAGATGGCAGAATTTACTGACAAGCTATCTTGGTCAATTCACCCTCTTAGGAACTACTCTCATGTCATTCCCATGTATTCATTTCTCTAATAAAGGGGGCTCACTTCTCTGAAAATAAGTCCAGAAATTTCCATACTACTGATCTAGATAGAAACTATGGAGGAGAACCTTATAAGGTTTGGGGTCTCGGAGGAGGAACGGGGCATGTTATGGTTCTGTGTGGGTGACTTTCACTTGCCTATTCCCGGTCTCCACTTCTTCCTTGCTCTCTACCTGCTTTTGGAYGCCCTTTCCTCCTATAAACTCTCTTCCTATGGCCCCATGATTCCTTCAGTCTTTAGAAATAACAAACACAGGTGGTAGCACAAGCAATGCAGCCATGAGTTAGCCAGTCCCCAAACAATCCTACCCCGGGGCACCAACTGGGTCCTGGGGAAGCAAAGCACAATGTTTTTGAGAAATGTGTGGACTACAGGCAAGCGTAGACTCAGAGGCAGGAGTCACAATGGACCACATCTAACCACATGCTAAAGGAAAGCTGAAGGATTTTTGAATGCAGAGGAGGTACTGGCAGAAGAGCATCTCCAGGAAGGCAGGAGTCTGGATTGTGGCTTTGAGCCTTGATGAAGAGGGAAAGCAAGCCAGATGGAAGGTAGGAGGCTGGAACAAGCAGGGTCTGATTGGAATAGTGAAACGTTTATTCAAATGGAGACAGAGATCTGGAATGAAGAGAGAATAAGAGGAGATGGAGTGTTGCCAAATGGAGCAGGGCCCTACATCGTGTGTTAGGGGTTTAGAATTTATCATGTAGGAATAAGGACGCTAGCAAAGATCTTAGAAGACTAGTTAGCTTTTAGAAACCTCCAGGTCACAAAACATTCAAATGTGGTTTGCCCCTAACAACTAAACTGCAAATATTGTTTTAAATTTTTTTCTAGCACCTCCAGGTGATTACAAAATATGCCAGTTTCTCCGTTCACACAAGCCCATCTGATGTTTAAGCCAAAATATGTTGCATATGTTGACGCACACAGAACTCACACACCCACCTCATTCCAGGGCCCTGTTTTCCACTGGGCTGGACAGGGTACTCTATTACAGGGCCGGCGGCTCTCAGGACGGTCACCCACGCAGTACTTGCTGTGTACAGAGCGGTTGGTGCCATCATGGAGTGGCTGAAGGCAGCGCACCGTGCGAAGCTGGTAGCCGGAACTGCCACAGGTTTTGGTRCAGTGTTCCCACTCCTCAGCTATCCAGCTATAGGGGGTTAAGATTAAACACCGTCACTGAGATGGATGGTATGTGCTTTATTCCCAAAATGCAAAGCCCAGATTTTTCTGCTCCCTGTGCAACTGGCAACCTAGCAGGGCACTGTACAGACAGGAAGTGATGTCAACTCCCTAACAACAGGTCCAGCACTTGCCTTTTTAATCTCCTATTATATTTTTCTGACTCTCAATGACTCTGAAACTGTTTCCTAAAGAATAATCTACAGAGGGTTCTTGAAACTCATGTTAAGTTTACCCTGTTAAGTTCAAGCATGAAGGTGGTTTTAAAAATAGCACCGAGACATTTTTAACCATATTGCCTAATGGTTGTGTAATATCTGAAAGTGAAAAGAAAAAAAAAAAAGGAATCCACCTAATGCTTGCCAAGAAAATCAACTTAACTGTTGCTGCTTGCATGAAATCTATCCTTTACTCATGTTTCAATAATCCCACTGAAATGATTGTTGTATTTCAACAGTTGTTGCCATGAAGGACTCGTCTATCCTGCTGGGATAATTCAGATCTTCTTATTGAACTTCATGGGGTTTGACAGAAAGGTAAAGGCAGTGTGCAGCCAGGGCTGGGCAGAGACTGCTCCCATGAATGCACCTGACAGAAATGTTTCCAAAGAGACATTCTCAAAAGGATTTCCTGTGGAACATTCGCAAATTATTGTGTCCATGTCAGTGCTCCCAGCAGTATCCAAATCAGTTGTGGTTACAATATACTGGACCGTTCTGTTATATATCATTACTGAGTCCTGAATGTCACTACTAGGTTGTCACTACTGATTTCACCTGGCAATCACAAGTGTGTCCTCTTGGTGACTCTGAAACCTCCTAAATAATGATCCCTTGAGGGCTTCTGAAACACATTTTAAGGTTACCCTATTAAGTTCAGACATAAAGTTGGCTTTCAAAAATACACTTCTTATATAATCTTTATCTTTAAAATAAAATAAGTGACTAGTACAGTCTTCAAAAATGAGTAGATATTCTCTAGTCTAGTTATTATAATACATTCCACTATCAGTTTGAGAGACTAGGGAAGTCTTAAACTGCCTGATTATATTTTGCTACTCCATTATCTATGGCAAGAAAAAAAAAGGAAGAGGGAAAATAACTTTGGAAAGAACAAACAAATAGTATGCCTCAATTAACATATTCACTGATAAACCCAATGAAGGGGGGGACTCAAAGGATGAAAAAGGAAATAATATTTCATATTCCAAAAGTGATCAAATATTATATGAAATGATCAAACATCTTGAGAAAGAGATAATTGATGCACAGTTATAATAGCAAATGTCCCAGAAAGAAAGAAYATAAACAAAAATTTTCAAAGAAAATCTCCTGGAGATGAAAGACATTGGTTTTATGTTTTCAAAGATCTACAGCTGTCATTTGCAACAGCCTGGAAGAAGCTGGAGGGCAAGTAAAATGCGCCAGGCACACAAAAACTAAGGCTGCATGATCTAACTTATATGTGCAGTCTAAACAAGTAGAACTCACAGAAGTAAAGTCTAGTATGCTGACTACCAGGGGATGGATGGATGCGGGGTGGGAACAGAAGGAATTGGGAAGACCTTGGTCAAAGGAAACAAAGTTTTAATTAGCAAGACTACCTAAAGTCTACTGCACCAAATCCTGACTATAGTTAATATAATGCATATTACAAAATTGTTAAGAGCAGATTATAAAATGTTCACACCACTCACACATAAAAAGGATGTAATTTGAAAATAATTAGCATGATTTTATCATTCCGTAACAAAATATACTATACCCCAATAAATATACAAGATCATTATTTGTCAATGAAAAAGTCTACAAGTACACAGCACAATGAGAGAGAAAAAAATCCTATGAGCTTTGAAAGACAAATACAGGCCACAAAGACAGAATTGAGAATCAGGATTACCACTAATTTTTCAAGAGCAACACTGGAGTCCAGCAGATAAGAGAATGATGTGTTCCAGAGAAAATACAGTCTAGAACTATATAAATAGGCATGTGACTCCAAGTGATCAAGGGTGAGAGTAGAAGAAAGACATCTTTTATAATCTTATACTTCAACCTCTTATATACTTTTCTAGGGTATCTAAGAATTTAGTTTTTATATAAGACGTTTTACTTTGTATTTGTTTTGTTCCTGAAACTCCAGAAAGAATCTACTAGAATGACTGTATGAACCAAGAGATGAGAAAACAACTAAGGCAGGAAACAGGAGCTCTTGCGGAAGAGAGGGACAGCGGAAATCACCATGATGAAAGCCTGGTGGAAGTCTAGGTGGAAGCAAGACACAGAGTTCATCTGTCTCTATTAAGAGKAAAGTTCCAGTATACTTAAGTGTTTAGCATTGAGAGGGGATTGATATTTAAGGAAGAGAGTTTAAGCATGGATTCATGAAAAGTAGTAGAAAACCAGATATAAGAATCAAGATCTTCATTTACTCTGGATTAAACAGTTATACAAGAAAGGAAACAATTAGTATGCTACGTGACCTGGTAGAAGAGAGGGGTGTTAAAGGAATCTAAGCTCTGGATATTAATCTCATTAAAAGATATGTCAACATTGGAAGTACTGAGGAAGGACTAAGTGTGGTAAAAAAAAAATTAAATCCTCATATTCCATAGTAGAAATTCAATACATAATATGGAACCCTGCCCCCTCCAAAGGCAAGTGATGGAAACAAAAATATTCTTCTTAAAGAGACTGAAACAAGTAATTACCAAATAGCAAAAGAAACATAAAGCCTGAAAGTGGTTATGTTTTAAGAACAAGGATATAAAGAAAGGTAGGGAACCACAGCTTTATAAACAATTCCTATTAAATGACTCGATTATTTAAACCAGGTACATATAAAGTTTTGATTAAAAACAAATTTAAAATTAAAAAGTGCTAAAGACATTTAAGCCCTTATTTTGACCTCAGGATATGATGGTCAAAGTAAATACTTACAGCGGATGTGTACACTCTTGAATATTGCACATTCGTCTAATAGGTTTTGGCTTTTTATTGACCTCACAGAAGCTACGATGAACCATCTTATTATCGCTTTTCCTACGGCATCCATATTTAGTGTACTGAAAACCTGGAAAAGAAAACAAGCTTCTTTGACTTTAATCATGTATTCATGCTACTATATATTAATTCATTTGTACATTTACTCATTTAATAAATATCGGAGTGCATACAGTAAGGCACTGTACTAGGTGTTAGTGATTCTATCACTTTCACTTAAAATAAACTTAAAGTGAAAAATGCTTATTTCAGAGCCTACATTTAATAAGTATGATGAATTATGAAACAGTGACTGTGCACTGGCTAGAGAACTAAGATTGAATAAGCACAGTCTAGTATGAGAGACCTCTATGAAAAGCATTTCCATCATCAACGCCTAGTAGTACAGGCTTTTATGGAGCTATGTGCATAACTTTCTGCAGGGGGCGCCAAAAGGACACGGAGGGAAAGGCCTCCAGTTCAGCTGGAGGAGGGGCAGGGGAAGCATGCAAGCTCAGCACTTTTTGTGCTTAATCTTGATCTTCCAACGGTGTGGGGTGAAAGGAAATGAAGCACAAATAGAAAAGCAGGTGCTTCACATGGCTGACATGTCATGTCTGAAGAGGAAGGATTAGAACTTGGATGCCTTGAGCACCAAACAAATGTATGGAATTTATCCTGAAAATCATAAAGAATAAATGATGGAGGTCTCCATTTGTTTACAAAAAAATCATGAAATTTTCAAAACTTTTAAACTTACAAAAAACGATGTGAAATCTGTATGCTTTGCATCTAGATTAATATTTTGTTACCATGTCATCACATTTTCCTTATATCACTATACAGAATTTACTGTATAGGTAAATTTTTTCCTGTACTATTTGAGAATAAGTTAAAGACATTTTGATTATTTACTCCTAAGTGTCAGGTCACATTTTGTTACAAGGACATTCTCTTCCATATCGACAATATAATTTTTAAAAATCAGAAAATTCAACACACAATTATCTAATATGCAGACCATAGTGAAAACCTGTCAATTGTCCTTATAATGTTCTTTACAATGATGTCATTTCTCATCAAGGAAACTGACATGTCTTTTTAACCTCCATCAATCAGAAATAGTTTCTGAATCCCTTTTTGTTTTTCATGGCATCTAATATTTTTGAAATGTGTAAGACAAGAGTTTTGAGAAATGTCCCACAATTTGGGTTTTATTGTCTCTCAATGATGAGATTCAGGTTATTCATTTTTGGAAAGGGTTACTTAAATGATGTATCTTCAGGGCAACATGAGAAGACTGTAGGATTTTAGGCAGGAAAATAATATAGTTCCACTCATTCATTTAAGAAAATTTCCCTTGAAATAAAAGAAGAGAAGAAAATCAAAGTCAGATACTAGTTAAAAGGTCACTGCATCAATCTTCTCTTCCAAAACTGTGATGGAAGCCTGGAGAGGAAGAACAGATCTGGCCTGGTAAGAAGGGTAATATTGAGTGTACAGCAAGAGAGAGGATGGAAATTAAATAAGCATCTATTCAGTGTAAATGTTTACATGTCATCCTTAATGAGTAACTAAAAACATTTAATGCCTCCCTCCAGAAACACTTTGGAAATACATTCTTGAATTTTCAATTATAAAATAAAGGATTTGCACAAGAATTCCCTGTTATGAATATATTATCTTTATGCTCAATTATTCACTGCTATTTTTGTGACAGTCCCTCACCTTCTCCTGCTTGTTGAGGAGAATTTTGTCTAGGCCAACTCAATCCTCAAGCCTTTGTTGTTCAGAATGAGAGGAATGGATGAAGGGAGAAAATGATAAACACTGAGCATAGCTTCAGCTTCATGGATTTACTCTGGGGAAGCAGAGAGGCAGCAGGGTGTAGTGAGGAAGAGTATATACCAGAAGCCAGGGAAGCTGGGTTTGAATCCTATGACCTTGGACAAATTACTTATCCTCCCTGGTCTGCAGTTTCACCATCAGTGTAATAGAAACGATAAACAGCACCAATCTCATAGGGTCATTGCAAGTATTCATGCATTGATACTAAAAACATTCAGAAGATCAGCTGGTTCCAAATACACAGCATAATCAGTTGTATCATCATAGTTAAATAATAGCTCTTTAATGCATAAATACAGAAATTTAAAGTAGAGGGAAAGGCAATAACCTGAGTACACTGAATTTGGGGGAGCTCTGGAGTTTCAGAAAAGTAGAGTGATTAAGAGTTCCACTACAGGGGACAGAAGCCATAATGATCTAGACAGATGAGCAAGTAGCTTTTAAGGTTCTACGACTGGTGGATGGAATCCTCTGCTGATTGTGAGATTTTTTAAGGAATAATGTTTTGTACTTACGTTTTGGATGTTATATTAGTTGTTTCTCAATTGTAGCCTCAATTAGAGAAAAGCCTCAAAGTAGAAGCAGGATTGACTTTTGTGTGAATTGCATTTTAATATAAGGAATGTGTTCAAATGTTACCTCCACCACAGGGTTTGGAACACTGAGACCAACTCTTCAGAGCCCACTCAAAAGTATCCAGTTCTTCCTGGATGACATTGTTGCTGTTGATTGTAGGTACAGAGTCCTCATGGATGATATACTTATATGTCAGGCTAGAGCGGGTATCATTYTCCTGAGGTATAATCTAAGACACATGTGAAATGCATATGTAAATCATCTGAGAGTTAAGACTTGAGTGAAAATTTACAAATATTTCAGAATATTGTTTTTACTGAAACTGGAAAACTTTCTAATAGCTTCTTAAATATGTTTTTATTTCTGTCAACTGCAAATGTGCACTATTTTAGAAAAAATGCACATGTGTAAGACTGAACATAATAATATTAAAAATGCATACACTCAGGAGTAAGAGTTCTATTATAAAAATAACTGCAAAAAATTAACTATAGGTTTTCTTAAAGAATACCATTTCCTTAGTACATTTTAAAGTTTATAACTGTTTTGTTATAATGATAAAGATAATAATGTTCCCTCCATAAAACAATTTTTTAAAATATGGAATCCAATCAGTGTTTGTATACAGACTCCAAACAATGCATTTCAAATSAAATCAAATAGGTGTTTTCTACATTCATCCATGAGAGAGTAATAAAGATGCTTTTCTAATATTAAAACCTATAAAACTGCACAGAAAATAGAAGGAAACTTTTATTTATTTATTTATTTTTGGCGGATAGATAACAATGGCAAAGGACAACAATCCCTGTGAGGAGAGAAATAAGCCTAGTCTTGCTTCCTGACAGGGGYCAAGTCGCACCTCTGCACAGGGATGAGGAGTCACACTTTATAACTCCAGGGAAGCGCCTGAAGAAGGGTGGCCCCAGGGAGGGGTGGTCTAGAAGCTGCTCAGGTCCTTAACTAAGGGCTGATCTGTACATGCCCAAGGCCAAATGCCATGTGCTCTATCAGTGAGTGGGAGTGGAACAAAGAACCAGAGGTCAGACAGGGAGGAGAGTCCCAGCAGCTCAAAGGGGCYTTACCTGAATACCTGAGGTATTCAATTAAGGTCCCCCCACAAAGTAAGGACTAAATTGAAATAGACCAGTCCTAATGACAAATACAACTAGATCTCAAAGGATTAGGAGGATGATCTTGCCAAGATCTAACTGCCTACTGAACAAAGTGAAACAACCAAACACTTCACAATTTATCATCCATAATGTCCAGTGAAAAATGAAAGACAAATTATAAGAAGCAGGAAAATGTGATTCATAATCAACAAGAAAAAAAATCAKCCTAGAAAAACAGACAACATGAATATCCAGAACTTATGTTAGTCATAATGAGCCAATATATATCAGCAGAGAAATGGGGGAAAAGAAAAAGAGCAAGAGAGAACAAATCCTGGGAAAGGAATGTACTGATGTTAAACTGACATTAAAAATTTACCAGACAGGCTCAAGGGCAGATTGGCAGTCACATAAGAAATAGTGAATTTATATATCTAGATCTCAACACATTATCCAATCTGAAAAAATATTTAGAAAAGATTATATAAGAACCAATGGGGCTTTAGACTTTTGGAACAATTTCAATATATTTAACATGCATGTGAGTAAGTCCCATGAGTAGAAAAGAGAAAGATGGTGTGGGGGCAACTGACTTGAAGATATAATGGAAAATTTAGCCAGATTTGGTGAAGAACATCAACCCACAAAGATGAGATTCTCAGTGAACCCCAAGAATGTTAAAAAGAACACCACAAACTATGTATATCTTACTCAAACTGCTATACAGAAAAAAGAAAACAAAGAGTCTTAGTGACTTAGAGCCTACCTGCTGGGCACCTCTATGAAATACTTGCTAGGCATAAATAAGGTGTAAATGGCTATAAGAATCCCACTGGTGCTGTTCCTAGGAGCTCTGTGACCCACAGACTCCCAACAATGCTGCTCAGTGACATCTCTGAGAGAGGCAGACACCCTGTGTTCTCCTCCTGTCATAGGTTAGATATGTGGTGTCCCCCAGAAGCTCATGTGTGAGACTATGCAAGAAGATTTAGAGGTGAAATGATTAGATTATGAGAGTTGTAACCTACTCGGTAGATTAATCTATTGACATGGATTAATTGGGCAGTAACCRTAGGCAGGTAGGGTGTGACTGGACGAAGAAAATAGCTTTATATTTTGTCCTTGGTGAACAGAAGAGCTCTTTCTCTGCTTGTGGATGACATGTCCTGAGCCGCTTTCTTCTGCCATGAAATTCTGCCTCACCTTGGGCTCAGAGCTATGGAGTCAGCCCACTCCATGGACTGAACCCCTGAAACCCGGTGCCAAAATACACTTTTCCTCCTTTAAGTGTTCTTGTTGGGTCTTTTGTTCACAGTGGTGCAAAGCTGACTGCAATGCCTCCTTTCCTTCTTCCCCCTAAGTTCTGTGGTCCTTTTCTTCTTTGGGTGGTACTCCTACTTGCAAATCTGCTATAGCCTCACCCAAATAAAGCTTTCAGGAGCTAATGCTGCCTGTGGCCATATCTTGTTCTTTGATTAGCTACCAAATCCCTCGAACTCCCTATAAGAACATAAAGATATGTTTAAAATGTTTAAAGAAAAAAATTGAAAAAAATCAGCAACCCCAAATTATTTATCTAGTGAAGAAAATAGCCTTTAAAAATGAGGGTGAAATAATATTTTCATATAATTGAAAGCTGAAAGAATTTTTTGCTAGTACACCCACACCATGAGAAATGCTACAAGAAGTTCTCTGAACGGAAGGTAAATGATACCAGATGGAAAGTTAAGATGGACAAGGAAGGAAAGAATATCAGAAATGGTAAATTTTTGGTTAAATATAAAAATCTACCTTTCTATTTGTTGTCTTTAAAAGACAACTGGTTAAGTCAAAATCATAATAATGTATGATACAATTTTTAATGTATATAAATGATAATGTTATACAAAGAGTGGAGGTGGAGGGAAAGAAATTATAACAAACCAGCAAATAAATATTTATCCAAGGTAAAATTGTTTTCAGATAAATTAATTATAAAATTATAAACTAAATCAATTACATAATAACCTGTAATGACACATACCAAAACAATAACGGGATCATGTAAGGGTCCATCAGTGTGAAGAGTTTCAATGTCATCTTCGATGTTATAATCCCACTCCACACCAAGATCTATGAAGGTTCGTGACTTGGCTTCCTCCCCTTTGCCATTTAAAATGTAGTGGCCTGTAGCCTGATTCTTAATTGCTAAGGAAAGGAAAATGAGTAACCGGCATATTCATTATTGTGTACAGTTTTGAAGATCCATATTAAGTCTACCCCATTCTATAAACTAGTGACTATGTTCCTTCATCAGTATTAAGCAATCAATGAGTGTTAGTTCTAATATCATTCCCATTTCCTTCGTTAGGCATCCAAAACTCTAAAGAAGCATTCCTAATAGTCAAAAACAGTAGCAAGATGGTAAAAGAGGCAAAATAATGTTTGCAAATATTCCCATTTGAAAACATTGTCAAAGAGGTTAAGGTTTCTCAATTTAGTTATTCCAAACATTTCTTCAGAAAGCCCAGAACATTTTGAAAATAATGGATACTTCTCTAATAATTAATATAAACCATTTATGTTAGTATACCATAGAACTTGATGATTTCTTTACAGTGTATCTCTTCAGAATTGGTAACAATATTTATAGCTACCTAACACATTTGAAAGGATTTAGGACAATAATTTAAGTTCTGATGAATGTAAAATTCCAAGGCCATATCACTTCTTAGAGTTGGAAAAAGCTACCTGCTGCTGATAGAATTCTTAATGTATTATAGATCTATATATTATCAAATAAAGTGGTTCTCCAGTGAGTAAAAATAAATCATATTTTAACTTTAGGAGATACATATCAGCACACAATGATAACTTAAAAACAAAAGTTCATAAATTACTATTACCAATGTGTAGAAAAAATAAGTAATCTTAATTAAATCCATTTATTCCTCTTGAGCTTTTACACTAGTCCAATTTTCCTAAGGATAATAATTTGAATTCCAATTAAAGAGTTTTATACACTAGGGAAAGAAGAACTATGGCTGACTGATAGGAGGTTATGGCATCTAGTAGCGACTATAATATAAATATTTTTAAAAACTCAATTCTACGCAGCACCATAAAAATCCATTACTTTTAAGGCATGTATGAAAATTTACTACAAATTTTCATGCAGTTGACAATGTTGCCTTAGTTTTAGAAATCTTTGTGCTTTAATAGGCCAAGGAATATAATTATTGTTTATATTTGTATACACACTATAAAAACAAACTCTTTTAAAATGACTTTTCTACACAATCCTCTCAAAAAAGGCAAATAATCTTCTTTGAGCCATTATAATCATCCACACAAATAGATCTATATGTACTAAAAAAATGTGACACATGTCAGACATTAGGAAAATTTAACATTAGACTAGCAGAATTCACTGATGGTTTCTTCAAACATCTTAAAATGTAATGAAAATATGGGGTTATATGCAATATGACATCAGCCAAAACATCAGAACTCATTTGTCCACGTAAATGTGATGAATTGTTCTGATATTATTCCTCCATTTAGTACATTATACTATGTATTTTTTCACATAGAAAAAAATTAATACAGAGAAAAATTGCATAGTAAGTACAAATTTGTCAAGTTTTTTCCCCTCACATAATTATGAAACACTCTCATTTTCTATAAAAATATTAAAGTTTTATTTTGACATATTTCTTGTTTTAAAGTGAGAATGGTTGAGAGAAATGACAAGCCCCTACACAAGATTAAATTAATTCATATACATGTAATTTGGATTCTGGCATATATATGTATATACATACATATACATGCACATATATATGTACCTATATATGTGATTTCTTTGACATTTCAAGGTTTAAGTGCATATTTAACGCAGCTCCAGCAGATAGAAAAGCTTACTTACCAAGAATATGAGGAGAAGCCTCGTCTTCTTGGATTAACACATGTCTAGCCCCAGGGGGTATATCAAACATCTTAAGGTACCCTTTGCATGTGTGGTAAATAACAGAGAAAGCAAAGAAAACAAAAGCAATAACCATGGTTAGTTGAGCACTACATTCTTACTGCTCCTGCATGCAGAAGAGGGCATCCATAAACTGAAAGAAGCAGTTTCAGAAATTAACTTCGAAGCATTGGTAGCTTTTGTGACATCCTGCATGAGATTAGAGAAAATTTTTGTTTTTACATTAAAGGAGGAGGAAAAAGTTAAAATTGTTACCAACTTATTAGTCATTTATGCTTGTGTTGACCTATAAATTGTGTCAACAATAATTCAGGCAAATACTATACTTTCATGTGTGCTCTATGGGATTCTAGTTTCCTAAATCACCCTTTTAAAGTGGGGCCAATTTTTAGTGGAAGTTTTTAGATAGTGAACTTCTTCAGATATTTTATCTGTCTCCATATTATTTAAAAAACCCAAGTAGCAAATATAAATAGCTAAATTTTCAATTATGGAAATGTTTCCATATTTAAAAGCCTACTTTATTCCAAAAAAATTACAAAAGAAAAATTGGTGAGTAGCTTTTATTTTTCTTGTGGTTAGTAGTTAATTATAAAGCTTATCACATTTTATGATTGACTGTTTTTAAATATGTGCTGTAAAATCTGACGAAACCATTTAATTAAAAAATGTTTGCAAGTTATGTCATGAATTGCCTTTACATGCCCACTAACTCGATCTTTTAAGCCAGAAATAAAATCAATTGGTTGTTTGGGCTTTAAATTAGGCAGCATTGCTATTACTGCCTATGTCATATATGACAAATAATATTATTACAACCTGAAAATTATTGTAAGATAACTGAAGATTCATATATTTAACTATAAATCATCAATAGTCAGGAGAAATGGACCAAGGTGTATCTATTTCCATAAAAAATAAATGAATATAGGAAGATTATGCAACCTACCCCTTTAGTAGGTTGTTAAACATCTCATTCATATAATAAAGGATGAGTATTGATGTCAATTCAATTATCAATACACAATTGTTGAAGTTATCAGGAAAGAAAAACATTTTTGTCATTTGCCAATGTATCATTGATACTATAGTTACATTTATTTAACTGTTTTCCAATATTTATTAGTGTACTAGGTAAATGAAGTGGTCATTTTGGGGATTAGCATTTTCAGCACCTTAGCTACAACTGTAAAGTCCAACACATGAAAGGTACCATGTTTGTCTGAGTATGCAATGGCTATAAGTAACATGCTTAAGATGCTAGCTACAGCAAAACAGCTTGATGCCATTTATGGATGCCCATCTTTCTGCAGTTTGGTACAACTTACCCAGTACATTTTTAGCTTCTCTTGTTTCAGCAAGAGAAATATTACGAGCTCCTCTGGGTAAGGTGAAAGCGCCTCTTGTCTTCCCTTAAATAAAATGTCTTTAATTAGTGGAGGTTTCATGTTTATCGAAGTCTTGCTGTTTCATTGACTATGCCATAAGCTTTCTCTCCATATATTTCATGAGATATAAAATATGTTCTATGATTTTATATGTTGAAATTAAAATGCATTTTTAATAGTTAGCTAATGCCAATAAACTGTTAATAGTCAATGAACATAAGACTAAGTATGAATGAAAAATGATGTAGGTGATTTGAAGTTGAATACTTGCAGATTTCATTTTCCAGCAACTTGAATTCTTTATGGCATCTCTTGCTTAAATGTTTCCCTGTTGGAAAAGGTTAATTAGTCTATTGAATGACTACGATGACAACATTTGTACACAGAAATGGGTGTTAAATTATCTTTGAACAGTTTGAATCTGTATGACTAATGAACACTTTCTCGTGTTCTTTTGATGTTAATTCACAGGTTTAGCACAGTTTTTGCAGTATCTGAAAATAGTATCACTACCTTATAATTGCATATAAAATAGAATGAATGATAGTGGAAAAACTTTTTCCTTATATTAATTCACTCTGAAAGCAAAACAAATTAATTATTTTACATCCAAAACAAAATAATATAAAACTCCAACAAAACAAATGCAGTTCATTATTTCATAGTAATATGGAGAAAATTAAACTTGGTTTCATCTAAACATGTGTGTATATAAATGTGTGAACACACACACACATATACACACTTATATACTTACATTTTAAATTATTTTTGCTTTATTAAAATAATACCATCAGCCAGAAATGACAGTATTTGTATTCAAAGTACAAACCATGGTAATTTATCACATAAGTATAGCAAAGACACCAATAACTAGACTAGAGAATGTCTAAGATAAGTACATTTGAATATGTAGCAAAGCTAATGTGCGTGGAAATGGCTTGAGTTGGGTGTCTAAGGTATAAGAGGAGCAAAAAGGACTATGAGAATTTTTTATTTGGATGATGACTATTTTATACTTTCTTTTCTTCTACAAAATGAAAAATTACTACCATGACAATGAACTTAGAATCAACCCAATTCTTTCTGATTGTTTTTGTTTTGTGTTTTATTGTTCTGTAAGATACTGAACTGAAAGTGCTTTGGAAGATACCAAAGAATCTTTTCAAGAAAATACCACATGGAATTCATCTTTAAATGTTGAATTCCCAGAAGCCTTTGCCAAATAAATACTTAATGAATAATTGAATATTTGTTACAAAGTCAAGAAATTATTTAGTAATAAATATTTTTATAAGAATTTGTATCAAATCTTATATTCTGATGAACATTATGAAATTACAAATATTTTTCCATATTATTTATTGCATATAGACAGCTTTTTGTTCCACCTTTTGAACTTGCAGTGTGTATCTAACTCCAAGTTATTGATGGTGGAACAAGCCCAAAAGTTCATAAATATGAGCAGTTATATGTCTGCTTATTTTTTGGTGGCATCTCAATTTTGTAAACATTTTTAAAGCATATGAAATATAGACCCTAAATTCATAGGTTCACAAGTAGGATAAAATTGTTCACTTTTAAAATAAAAAGAAGCTAAAAGAAAATAACATTTTAAAGGTTATATTTAAAGTTTTATAAAAATTTTTCCTCACTCCGGGTCAACAATTTTAAGTGCAACAGAAATTTGAAATAACCATTCATTCTGATTTCATCTGCGTTTTTTAAAAAATGTAAAATACCACAATTTTTAGATAACTATTATAATTGATATTGACTTTGTTCCTTGTCCAAATTTAGTCTATAATTTCTCATAAATGCAAAGGAGCATGAATTTAGTAAATTTTTTTWAAAAAAATTTAAAATAGTTCCTTAAAATGTAATTTGAATAAATCACTTTTGATTCATGTTTACTGCACTCCTAAAAGAGGAAGCCTAAAAAGCACAGGTCATAGGGAAGGATAGAGATTCACAAAGGCCCTCATCTTACCGAGCTTCCTGGGAGTTCTGGTAAATGTCCCCTTCACAGTTCGACAATGGGAATTATCTCCTCCACAGACACCACATTTATCCTCAACCTTGTTGGAACCGATCTCTTTATCACAGCCCACTTTCTGTGAAGAGAAGATATTAAATGTCATTGATTTCAATGTCGTCAAGTAAAAAACATCATCCAGAGAATGGTGGATCATTTGTTAATCACAGATCACAGCAAGTTCACACCAAACTTCCCCTTAAGTCTTATTTTTCACACCTCAGTCTTTTAAAGAACTAGTGTGAAGTTAAATAACTGTACTCTAGTAAATAAAGGACAAGTTTCCCCAGTCCACTGAAGTATTTTCCCCATCATAAATTGTCCTAATCATCAAATGAGTATTTATTGAGCACAGATGTAGCTGGATGCTAGGGAGACCGAAAAAAAATAGCATTGGATTTTTCCATATTGTATTCATATGTATAAAATGAATATAAAGTGAGTTTTATATTGGTGCCATCTTTTAAAGTTAATTAGGAAAAGAAAAGAAAAGGTAATTAAAATGTAAGACAAAATTTCATTAAAGTAGCGGAGGAGACTTCCTTAGGACCCTTAAGGAATATAGTGTAAAGGAATTTCAGGAGTGCAGAGTGGTCAAAACAAAGCTGGGGTAAAGATAAGTTCATGGAAAGTAGTTCAGATATCAATATTTAAAGCCATACTTAAGGCAGTGGAAGGCTAGTGTTGCCTCATAGCAGAAGAACAGTGAAAGATTCGCAGAGCACATGCTGTGGAAAATCTTGAACATATATATAGTTTTCATCTTTACATTAATTAATAGAAAACCACTGAAGGTTTTCTGGACTGGGGAAGATCCTTAAATGAATTGGATGTAGGACAATGCTATACATATATCCTGTACTCATACATTCGGCATGAAAATGGGCAGGAAAAACGACAACATAGTTAATGCATTAGACATTGTGGGAGGTAAAAGGTGAATAAGACACATATTCTACCTATGGTCTGTATGTGTACTCTCAATAATTATGTGCTGGAAACTTAAATCTCTAATATGGCAGTTTGGGGAGGCTTGGCCTAATAAGATGTAATTAGGTCCTGATAGCTCTGCCTTCCTAGACAAATTAATGTTACTAACATGTGAATGGTCAATTATTATGACAGTGATAAAAGTGACTTCCTTTTGTTCTCTTTGGTGCATGTGCCCTTTTTCCCTTCCACCTCTACCATGGAATGATGCCCCATGGAGTCTCTCAAGCCAGTGCTAGCATTATGCTTCTGGTCTTCCCAGTTAACAGAAACATGAGAGAAACAAATGTTTTCTTTATAAATTATCCCATCTGGGGTATTTTGTTATAGAAGCACAGAATGGACTAAGACATTTACTTTCAAGGACAGTTTAGTTTAATTATGAGGCATCTGCACATTGGAGACTTGTTAATAAATACTTTGGTTTTACTGAAGTAATAAGGAAATGGATGTTAGAAGCAGTGTTTCAGTTAACAAGGATAATTTCATGTTAATTTAACTGAGCACCTGAACATTTTTTTAAAAGAGATTAAACTGGGCTTGGTGGCACACTCCTGTAATCCCAGCACTTTGGGAGGCTGAGGCAGGAGGATTGCAAGATTGAAGSCACCATTGGCAATTTAGTGAGACAGTGTCTCAAAATAAAATAAGGGATGGGGATCTAGCTCAGTGGTAAAGTACCTACAATTTCAATCCCAAATACCTCAAAAAGAGAGATAAAGAGAGATTAAATGGAATAAAAATAGTTTTGTTTTTTGTTTCTCTACATTTTGTTCTTATGTAGAATTCAATGTTTAAGCTTCAGATCAATTAGAAAGTGAAAGAGGGAGAAAGAAATATTGTATTATCTTTTGTTTGTTTGTTTCTTTTCTTTCTTTCTTTTTTTTTTTTTTGATAATGGAGATTGAACCCAGGGGTGCTTATCCAGAGAGAAACATCCCCAGCCCTTTTTATTTTTTATTTTGAGAGAGGGTCTCACTAAATTGCTTAGGGCCTTGCTAAGTTGCTGAGGCTGGCCTTGAACTTGTGATTCTCCTGCCTCAGCCTGCTGAGTCACTGAGATTACAAGTGTGTGCCACCATGCCCAGCTGTATTATCTTTTAARCAAATAATAAAAAACAAACTTAATATTGGATTTWAAAAAAAATCTTGGATATTAATGTCAGACGCTCCTAGTAAAATACTTAAAGCAAATGCATTGTTCCCTCTTGTATTCTCAGCCTAGAGGCATTCATTATTTAGAAAAGGCACTTGGCTGAAAATTAGAAAAATTATTTAACTCTTAATTCTACCAGTGACCAAGGATTGATTTCAGTAGGTATAATTTCTCCCCGAATTATTTATGTACTGAACTTTAAACAGGCTAACTTCCCAGATAAGTACCAGCTGAAAACAGTGTATATGCTTATGAATAACATTACTGTTACATAGAATCACATGGTACCATAGGAAGCTTTTGAGAAAGCARGCGCAACTCACCACACACTCTCCTCGAACACATATGCTGTATGGGTCCTTGTAAGAACAGCGAGTTCCGTCGTGTACCAGCTGTTTCATGTAAGCAACATCTCCAGTCTCTCTAGACTGACAGTAAAGGTGGCATCTTTTCTTGGCTGCATAAGGAGGGGGGCATAAAATTAACTATTTACATAAAACAGAATGTGTGAAGAGTATAGTTTATTTTTAAAATATCAAGTTTCAATACAGGTTCCTGAAAACAAAACAAGTACTATATAAATACATAAAATACAGAGCAGGAGAAAAGTACAAACGTGCCAATATGCATATTCGGCATATTTGTTTTAGTATGATTTATGATTTGTCTGAGCGTGAAAGGGGACTCCACTAATATTTGAGCAGGTATACACTGAGACTGGCCCAGGCAAACCAGGCTGAATAGCAATCCTAGATTTCAACACAGATCTTCAATAAACTTTAATTCAAATTTTGTTTAAGCAATGTTCAGATCTCTGAAAGGGTTTCCTTTTCGTCTGACCCAATCAGTTAATATAGTTTCTGCCTCTTATGGAATCTCACCAATTAAACATAATTTATGTGACTAACTTCATCAAAATAAATAAAAATAATACATCTGTTCTAAATGCATCACAACTTTCAATTCCTATATGCATTCACCTTTCTTTTGAAAGAGTTCTAAACTGAATCCAGTAGTGCATCATGTCACATGATAAGCATCTTTTTTTTTAATCACTGAAATAAGAAATATATTTAGTCAATAATTCAAGTGTAATTAGAATAGTTTTAAATAACTAGTTTTTTTTTAATATCTTTCTTTTATTTTATTTTTATGTGGTGCTGAGGATCAAATCCAGTGCCCCATGCATGCTAGGCGAGCATTCTACAACTGGGCCACAACCCYAGCCCCTTAAATAACTGGTTTATAGTATAAAAGTTCAAGGTTATAAAGCACCTTTTGTTATTAAATAATGGTCTTTTCCTTATGTCCTGCCTGATTTGACTGTAAAAAGAACTATATTTTTCTCTAGATATTCTGAAAAGAAAGATCATACCAAGCTAGAAGCATTTCTTAGTAGAAAGATTTTAGTTAAATCAGGAAATTCAGCATCTCACCCTGGCGTCACTTCCCATTGGCCATTTCACTGGGGATCAGGATAGTGCTATTTTCCAGGACCTTCCTTCCTCTCTAGAGAAAGAGAACTTAAGCCTTGTCCTTGGAAACACAGAAGGCCTTGCCCCTAGAAGCACCACGTTTCCTAAGTTACCAAGTCAGGATCAAGAGTCCAAGGGGTTGGTGTTGGCAAAGCTTAAACTCTGAAGTGACCATCCACACAGCAGGAAAGGGTGGGACTGTACTCACAGTCAGGATGTTCATATGGCAACCAGTGGTGTTTGGTATTCTGGAATTCAAAGTGGGAGTTACGCTGCTGGCACTGCTGCGCTCTGAAGTCCTCAAAGTGTTTTTGGCATTCTTCTGTATTACAAAGCTGATACTCAAAATTAACACCAGGACAATCCTGACCACCATTGATGGGCCTAAAGAAAAGACAACATTTCAAAAGGCTGTTTGGCTTCTGTCCAACTTGAGGCTTGCAGACACAGGGCTTAAGGGCAGAAAGCCAGAACTTCCAAGATGCCAGCACAAAGTGGATGAACTCATACTTTCTAATTCCAGTCCCTTCTCAAAGCACCCTTCTCTCCCTGCTGCAGGGTAAAACACCCCAAAACTCAAATCAGCTTTTTAAGCAGTATATTTCAAATGCTGGGCAAAAGTGTATTGAAGAAACTGAAAGCATATATATGGATACAAGAAAGTTTTATTGTCTTCCATGTATAAAACATGTGGCTGTAACTCAAACTTTTATCATGGCTCTCTGTCTCCATCTCCTCTTATGTAAAATGAAAAAGTAATACTATCTTCCACAGAACAAAGTTGTCAGGATTAAATAAGATAACATATTTAAAGCACTTAGACTAGACTCTGGCTCATAGCAAACCCTAGCTGTTTTTATTATTGGCATTTTGGTTGTTTTTGTTTCTTTTCCTACACAACCATCATTTCTTCCCATGCACACAGGCATGTGGCACCTGATAGTCTTTATCAAAGACATGCTCAAAGATATCCTGCGGCCAGAAATAAAAAGAGGGAGCTGCCTAGATGCTAAATTGTAGACCAAGAAGAATATAATATTCAATAATTACATTATTCTTTTTCTTTAGAAAATAAAGTTTGCTGAGCATACAATAGGGACTCGGGATAAACTTTTAGTCTGAGTGAATTAATGAATACCTTCCCCCCAATAGTTCCTTGGCTGTCCCTCACCATCTTTCTATTGCCTTACTCTGAAGCAACTACACCTACCCATGGTGAACGAGTCCTTAATATTCTCAAACATCAATTTCTTTAAAAATCTCTAATCTTCATTCCATCTCCTCATCTTCATCCTTGACCACTCTCCATAAGACTGATAAATGACCACTATCCAAAAGTGACACTGGTTTAGGAACTGTGAACAATTTGTTTTTATGTCCTATATTTTTCATTCAMTTTATGAAACAGAATATTAATCACATGACAGCATTTTCTAGTCTATTMAAAAATAACAAGAATTATACGGATTATACTTACATGGGATTATTGCACTGGCGGGTTCGGAAACGAACACCAGTTCCACATGTCCGCGAACAGGAGCCAAATTTTGTCCATGATCCCCAATTACCGTCTTGTTTTTGTTGATTAGCATTCTTCCACATGCAATGACCCTTATAGCACCACTTAGGAATAAAAGGCAATTATGAAAATCATGCAGACACTGAAGCTGAAGTTATTCAAGAACCCCTATTTGAAGATTTTTCTTTCTTTCTTTCTTTTTTCTTCCATGTGGAGATGCCTTTAAGATATCCAAAAGCAATTACACCATCCCAAGATACCCTAACAGAGGGAAACTTAGACTTGAATTTTTTAAGTATAAAGTTAAAATGAAAACTAATACAACATCCATCCAGACAAGTTTTTAAATGATATATTCACCAGTGACTATCAGGCACCAATAATTTTCTGGGCACCTACCTTGCCCAGTTGATACTATTCCACCCTCTGTCTCTTGCTACCTACCATCATCTCAAGGTATGAAAATATACATCTGGAGTTAAAAAATAAATAACATAACATACCCCAAATCATGATATTTGGCTTTCAAGGCACTTTTTTCTTTCTTTCTTTCTTTTTTTTTTTTTTTTTTTTTGGTATCAGTGATTGAACCCAGGGGTGCTAACCACTAAGCCACATCCCCAGATCCTTCTATTTTGAGGCAAAGTCTCACTCAAGTTGCTTAGGACCTCACTAAGCTGCTAAGGCTGGCCTTGAATTTGCTATCCTCCTGCCTCAGCTTCTGGAGTCACTGGGATTACAGGCATGCACCACCATATCCTGATCTGCTTTCAAATCACTTTTAATAAATAAACAATAAAATTTTAGACTTTTGTAAGTAAGCTTTATAAAATTTTAATTCACAAATTGTTCTGAAAGAAATACAGGTGATATAAATAAATGAGGAAAAGTAAGGCCCAGAATGTTCATGAGTAGTTGAAGGTCATCTGACCAAGAAGCAAACAGTGGGACTACTAAAACTCTCATACCAGAGCACCATGCATATGGTGCCCAGAGTACAGAAGATGGTCAAAGGGCATTACTTTCCTTTACAACATTTTTCATCTGCTTTTTCATACTATATACAATAAGTGTCTGTCTAAACCAAACTTTTGTAAATTTAATTACAACACAGTTATATTTAGAGGAGTTGGATGTTGAGAGTTGATTAAATAATAGTTTTAATAAAACAAAAATTAATTAACTCACTATTGCTCTTGATTTTAGTCAAAAGTCTGTGATAATGAATTTTTCCAAAGCCAAATACTATAAATAATGTTATTTGGCATCATGCCTAACATAAGGCAGGTATATGTAATGATAGGTTTTATTATTATGCATGATTCTCATCACAAGTACAGTTTATACACATCTGAAGTCAACCTTGTAAAAGAACTCAAAGCTGTGTTAATCTTCTTTGCCAGCTTTTGGTCCTGTCTACAATCTCTTATTTCTAAACTAGTCAGAGCTCTTCAACTTGAGTTTTTAACATGCCTTTATTTTGGGATCTCTGCCCTTATGAGTAGCATAGCTTGGTCTGCCGCCAGTATCTGAGCATTCAATCCTGGCTACACAATTTGAGATTTAAAACCTCTGGGCATCTTTCCCCAAGGAGCGAGGCCAAATCTTCTGTATAAATTCACATTACTTTATTTCTGGGCAACTTTCACAAGGAATGGGATGCCAGCAAGTAAATCAAATCCCACTAGCAGGGGGCCAGAGATGCTGCAGAGCTGTTTCCTCCCATTCTGTCTGTAGTGGGCTGAATGGTGGTCTCAAAGATGACAGATTCTAGTCCCTGGACTTGTAAATGTGAACTAATTTGGAAAAAGGGTCTTTGCAAATGTGATTAAATTAAGGATCTCATTTGGGGAGATTATTCTGCATTACTCAGTGGGTCCCAAATGCCATTACTTATAACACAGGGGGGCAAGGGGAGATTTCACACAGAAGCAGAGACTGCAGAAGGAGTAGTGAGCCACAAATCAGGAATGTGGATGGAAACAGGAAGCTGGAAGAGGCAAGGGACAGATTCTCCCTTGGAGCTTTTGGAGGGAGTATGACCCTGCCCACCCCCTCATTTAAGTTCAGTGAAGCTGATTTTGGATTTCTGGCATTCAGAACTCTCAGAAAATAGATTTCTGGTGTTTTAAGTAACCAAGCGTAGGGCAATTTATTATAGCAGTCACAGGAAACCAGCACATTATCATACTGTATGTTATGGCTTAGATATTAGGTGTCCCCATTGTATAAGACAATTCAAGAAAGTTTTGAAGTGAAATGAGAGTTTTAATCTAATCAATGCATTAACTGGGTGGTAACTCTAGGCAAGCTAGGCTGTAGCTGGAGGAGGTGGGTCAATGGGCGGGCTTTTGGGGTATATCCTTGGTGAGAGAAGAAGGCTCCCTCTGCTTCCTAGTTCCATGTCCTGGGACACTTTGTTCCACCACACTCTTTTGCCMTGGTGTTCTGCCTTACCTTGGGCCCAGAGCAATGGAGTTGGCCATCTATGGACTGAGACCTCTGAAACCAGGAGCCCTAAATAAACTTTTCCTCCTCTAAGTTGTTTTTGTCATGTCTTCTGGTCACAGCAGTGAAAAAGCTGACTAAAACACTGCATTTCCATAACAAAACCTCAGGTACTATGGTTTCCATGAAAATGACAGCACAGCTATGTTTGTCATTTGCCAGACTTAAAAATTACCACTCAACATGTCATAAATCTGCATTATATAGATAGATATACTCACTTTTCCAGCAGCACATTCAGTCCCATCAAGTGGGGGTCCCTTTTTAGTCTTACAAAAGTAGGGGTTATCAGGATGGCTGCACCAGAGCTGTTTACACGGGTCAAAGGTTCGGAACTGGAAGAGAGAATCAAACTCTCAGTGAAGTCTCAGATGGCAACATAGACACCAATGAAATGTTCTACAGTTTCTTCATGTCATGTCTTTTGTATTTCTTAATTTTAAGTCAAGTAGTGCGACATGTTAAGAAAAACACTGCACAAGAATTCCAAGTAGAGAATACTTTTATTTTGCTTTTCTAAAATAGCAATGATAAACAATGATTTATTTGGGATTCTCTGCTAGACTTTTAGTTTTTCTGAATGTCATTTATACTTTCTGATTCTTCAAACAGACAATTTTGGAATTTTAAAATGTGTTAGTAATTGTGCACATTTCAAATATGAAATCTTATTATAACCGTTTGGCAGTTCTCAAGCTATCAAAATGCCTTCTCTTTATTCCTGTAGTTATGAACTAGTTACAGATACTTGTGTACATTCTTTGCTCATCTCTTCATTTTTCTCTTTAAATGTAACTATTTTACTATATTTTTGATAGAGTTTTAAAAATTTTTATATAGATTTTATATCTATTCCCTATACTACTAATTACCCACATACAGCCTTGTGGTCATAGATTTTTTTGTTTGTTTGTTTGTTTTAATCCTTGATTACTTAATGCAGAAATTGTACTTTTACATGACATTGAGCCAAAGGTTTAGAATTCTAAGGTCTAAAACATTAATGGAGGTAAGTAGAAGCTCACGGTGTATTATTTATAGAYAGGCTAAATGGCTGTATATGAAATATTCCAAACAGCAAATCAATTTTTTTCATTACCCAAAATACATTTTTTCTTGCTCTGTTTATTCCAACATAAAAAAAGGCTTTCATTCAGTATGGAGATTCCTCAGAAAACTTGGAATGGAACCACTATTTGACCCAGCTAATCCTACTCCTTTGTTTATACCCAAAGGATTTAAAATCAGCATTCTACAGTGACACAGCCACATCAATGTTTATAGCAGTTCAACTCACAATAGCAAAACTATGGAACCAACCTAGATGTCCTTCACAGATGAATGGATAAAGATGTGGCATAAACATACAATGGAATATTATTCAGCCTTAAAGAAATTATGTCATTTTCGTGGTAAATGGATGGAACTGGAGAATATCATGACAAGTGAAATAAGCCAAACCCCCCAAAAAAAAGACTGAATGTTTTCTCTAATAAGTGGATGCTGATCCATAATGGGGTGGGGGGGGGAAGGACTGTGGATTGTGCAGAGGAGAGTGAGGGAAGGGGAGAGGGTATGGGGATGAGAAGGACAGTAGAATGAAACAGACATTATTACCCTATATACATGTATGATTACACTACCAGTGTGACTCTGCACCATGTTCAGCCAGAGGAAGGAGAAGTTGTGCTCCATTTGTACACAATGTGTCAAAGTGCATTCTACTGTCATGTATAACTAATTAGAACAAATTAAAAATTAAAAAAGGCTTTCCTTTTTTTTCTTTCCATAAATGAATTACTAGAGATCAAGCATGGTCTGATGAAACATAGCCCTAAACTGAACAGTTATGCAGAGAAGACTGGTTGTAAAGGATTCCACTGTGTATTTACTATGTACCTGTATTGTGCTAAACATTTTAATTACATCATCACATTTAATCTCACTTCAACCCTATGAGACAAATACTGTCATTATCTACATTTTACACATAAGGAAACTAAGCCAGAGGGATTAAATAATATGCCCAAGGTAAGACGTTGAGTAAGTTCAGAACTAGAAACCGACTCATCCAGTCTTCCTATGACACCCATATCCGGATGCCCATGCTATACCAATGGAATTTTATGTAATAGAATACCATAACCCTTCCCTGTGGTCACTAACACAGAATACAGGCTGTCAAGACAAATAAGAGCCATGTATCTAAGGCTTATGAGTCATCTATGAAGGTCAAATATACTAAGGAGGAAAAGAACATAAAGATTTAGAGCCTGAGAACCTTGGTTCAAAGTTCAGCTCCCTTATTTCCCAGATGTGTGTCTTGAGCAATTTGCTTAACTTCTGTAGGTCTTGGCTCTTCCTTCTGTAGAAGTATATCAACTCCCTTCTAGTCTTTTGCGAGGATTAAGTAAGGCAGAATACTTAAAATATTTGATTTTACCATCTAACAATACAGCAAGCACAAGGTAACTGGTAGAGATTCTTATACTTGCACCAGTGAGTTTGTAAAGTTCACCAAAAAGAGCTACATAAATAGATTTCAAGATGCAAAAACTAAATTAACTATGGGTAACATACCGCAGTGCACATTTTGTAACCAACACCAAAATCAAAACGGCATTGCTCATCCATAGAGTAATTTATTCCAGGAAGTTCTGGGAGTTTGGGCCAATCATGTTCAAAAGGGTCATCAAGGAGACAATCATAGGAGCTGCAGGAAGGAAAATGTTACAGGTAGTCAAAACCTCATTTAAAACCATATCCTAATGGGAACATGGTTTCCATGTTCTTAGCTTATATACTAYAGAATTTCATCAGGTCATAGAGAAAATTCACAAAGACATACACTTTCAAGTTTCTGGCTTCAGTTCCATTTAGAAGAAGAGCCTTCATTCTTATTTATTGCAGCAAGGTAAGCCAACAACTACTTAGCCTTATTCATGTCACTAACTGAGCCTCCACATGGTGCGGCAGGGTAGTTTTTAATACCTACACTATAGAGTACAGATTATGTAATATATACAGGAATCACAACCATTCTCTTCCAATCCTCAATTCAACTTGTCCATTTGCTGAAGATTCTATAAAGACTTTAGTAATAGAAAATCATAATGCACTTAAGTTCTAGTCTTATGGCTGAAAAATTGTGATTACATTATGCAATCAACATGGCAAAGGCTCTGAATCATAAGAAAATGTTGATTACTGACAACAATATGCAATTTCATATTTGGAGTTTACAGCATAAATGCTCTCATGACATGAAGCAGGACACATACTGGATGTATCTTTTCAATTCTTGACCACTGCATCGGGACCAGTGGTAACGATGAAATGCCGCTTGTACTAAGGGAGCCATGACACTGCCCATAGCAGTTTCGTCCCCACACCTGTTGCCTTGTCCATCATGCTCCATTCCCAACCTAGAACACAAAGGAGATCTCATGGGTAAGAGTCAATGGGGTTATGGCTTTTGTTCATTTTTTGTTGTTTTGACAATAAGTACTGGGAAAGATGTATTTTATAAGTCAACATGGCTCCCTCGTGGAAGCCATAGGCAGTGAAATTGAGAGCAATCTGACAAAAATGCCTCTCTTATTCCATGGCTATGAAAAGTTCAGGAGTGCCTCTTCAAGACAGAGTCACTCATTGAGTTTCAGTGCATGACCTCCCCCCTGTTTTCAGCGCCTCACACTTGGCAAGGGATGAGAATTGCATGCTGGCATGTATTCTGCCCCAAGTGTGAACAATACTGGGAGAAGCAAAGAAAAGATCTTTTTTTTTTTTTTCTTTATAGCTGTCAACAGTGACTTACACATGGCCAGTTTCATGGGCTACTACAAAAGCAGATGAAAAACCATCCTCATGATTCAGGGTACAACTTCTCACTGGATGACACATGCCYGTGACTGGAGCATATCCTGTAGAGAATAACAATTACTTTTATTTTCATTTTATGAGAAAACCCATTAAGAAATACTACTGGACCTTTGCCTAGAGGGAAAAAAATAAAAAGCTTTTCAGCAAACAGGGGCAGCATTATTTCCCAGCTAGCAGTATGTGCCACATTCTCTTGGGAAAACCACAGGTAATGGTCTCTAAAAAGATTCATTGGGTCTGTATTCTCTCCTTTCATAAGAAAAACAACAACAACAACAACAACAACAAAATTGCCTGGGGTTACCATTCTGTTCTGCCCACCAGTTAAGCCTTGTCTTTCTGTTTTAGTAAATGGTCCTTCCTATCATGGTACTGATGAAGGGAGCCAGAAATTCCATCAATGTTGAAAAGAAAATCATCAGTCTGCTTTTTACAAAGTCCGCATCAGAATTTATTAGATAAATGGAAGCTGACTTTGGAAGAAAGCTCTTTGGCAGCAGTCATTTCTCATGGCATCTATTTTCTCATTCCAAACAGTCAGTGGACATCACACTGCATTTTACAGCATCCCCTCCATACCCCAAATGCACAACCATTATTTTAAAGGCAAGTATAATTTATTATGGTATTTAAGCAGCATCTAACATTGTGAATTCCAAAGAAGTCACTGAAAGCAATAGAAAGAAAATGCATACTTGGCTGATGCATGGTGGAAAGTGGTGATGGAGAGCTGAACATTTGAACAGACTGCCCAAATGGGGATTACTCTTGAAAAGTCATGCCCTTAAGTTTTCCTTCTATATATTAATGGCAATACCTTGCATTCCAGCAGGTCCAAAGTCTTGCCTGGTTAAGAAAATTGCATGATCATGGTGCTCAGAGTGGTTGGGATCAGATTTTTGTTGTTGGTAAGCCCAGCGACACACATTCTCTAAGCTCCTGGATGGGTTTCCCCTTTCTATGAGACTGATGGACTAAGAGAAACAGTATGTTAAAGACACATATAACATTTTCCCAAAGGCTTTCTTTAATAACTTTTTCTAAAGATGAAACTGGGATTATAATACTTAAGAAACAATTTAATGTTATTTGGGGCTTTAGATACCTGCATTGGTTTGGGAAWTCTAAATGCCCAGGAAAGATATCTTGATGATAATCAATACTACCTGTGTTAAAGTTAATGGAGTCCATTTACGGGAATGTCTGATACTGGGATTTGCTATTGTGAGCAAACTCAATATTAATCATTTGGGTAAGAATTTCAGAAGTCCAAAATATTTCCTGGCTCTGTTTAGATTTTAAATTTCATAGATATTAAGAACAAAAATATTGGAAAAGATTCTGCCAGGAAGCTTTTCCCCAGAGATATGAAAGTAAAAAATCTTAATTAAAATTTTTGTGATTTTTTTTGGGGGGGTAGGGAATTAATCAATGTGCAGGAAGAATAGAAGTTCTTCCATAAGCTGTCAAGTCTGGTAAAATCTTCGTTTATGGGGGGAAAGTCAAATTATATTAACCTCACACTAAAAACAACAGTTATTTGGAATGTTACCACTATCGCTTTATGGTCAAGAGTTAAAAGTTCAGGGGGAAAATGGCCCATCGTTCAAGAACCTGGGAGCTGCACTCCCAGATTGTTTCTGGATGGAATGAGAAACTGAAATTGAAACCCCAAATAAGTCCCTACTTGGCTGACAGACTGAGAGTTTTGTTAAATTTCAGGAAATGTTATTATCAGTGTTTACATTCTTAATAGAATTAGCTAGATTTGTTATATGCTGATCACATATTTCTCAGAACAAATGACTTAACAACCAACAGAAGGCTATTAACATTTCCAGCTGGAATTAACTTGTATTCCTCAGTAGCAACACAAAGTAGGTCAGGTTTATGCAAGAAACAAAAGGTCATAACCCACTTGAATCTAATGTATGAAATACGATATGTCAAGAGCTTTGTAATGTTGTGAACAACCAATAAAAAAAAAGGAAAAAAAGAATATAAGCAATAATAAGTGTTAGTGAGGATGTCGGTAAAAGGCACACTCATACATTGCTGGTAGGACTGTAAATTGGTACAACCAATCTGGAAAGCAATATGGAGAGTCTTTAGAAAACTTGGAATGGAACCACCTTTTGACCCAGCTATCCCACTCCTCAGTCTATACCCTAAAGACTTGAAAACAGCATACTACAGTGACACAGACACTTCAGTGTTTATAGCAGCACAATTCACAATCGTTTAACTGTGGAAGCAACCTAGATGCTCTTCAATAAATGAATGGATAAAGAAACTGTGATATATATACACAATGGAATATTTCTCAGCATTAAAAGAGAATAAAATTATGGCATTTTCAGGTAAATGGATGGAGTTGGATAATATCATGCTAAGCAAAAATAAGCCAATCTCAAAAAATCCAGGGGCCGAATATTTTCTCTGATAAGTGGATGCTAATTCATATGGAGGGACATGGGATGAGTGGAGGAACTTTGGAAGTGTCAAAGGAGAGGGAGAGAGGGGGCAAGGGGTAATAAAAATGATGGAATGAGATGGATACCATTACCCTGTCACGTATAATTGATTAGAACTAATAAATAAATAAATAAAAGAGAAAAAAAAGAAACAAAAGGTCAGTGACACCCTATCATCAGATAAAGATAAGAGGATTCTAAATATATAATTAAATGCAAATATGTGTGCTTTTCCTGTTTCCTAAATGCACAAATTCAACAATATTTCATAACCGGGAAGATTAATTATGGGAGAGATACATGGAATTTTAAACATCCAGAAAATTGAAAGGTGGTTGCTTCCTGTATGTTTCCTTGTCAAAGGGAAACACTTTTAAAATCTATTTTATTATTTTCAAGGACAAAGACATATCTAGTGTCATTTTAAAGCCAGTTAAAGTCAGTTATCTTATATGAAATGCCTACATGTACATTTTGACCCAATTTTTTTGTTTTCAAAGGATTAAAACTCTTTTAAATAAAAAATATCACTATATTTCACTTTTAAGTAGAAAGATAGAAGTATTAAATATTGTTTTAACAAAACAAGAAGATACAGATTTCTATCTTTTTCATTCATTGATATATTCAAACAGCTAGAAAAGTGCCACATAGTAGGAACTCAACAGAGAAATTTTGAATGACTATATGAATCACAAACTTGATGATAAACAAAGCTAAGAAAATTCTCTTTTGCTTAATGGTATCCATTCATTCCACCTACAGTCATGCCTAAATTCAAGATAAATATCCACATCTCTGTTAGACAGAAGTAGAAAAGCAAAGGGTAGCCACATAAAAATCTGCATTTTCTGCTCAGATTTGGAGATCTCTACTCATTGTGGCAGTTTCTCCTCCTCAGTTTGGGCAAACAGGCATTCCCATGAGACTGGTCTAGATTATCTATGGGAGAGGGATATGTTATTTTAAACATCACTAACATTGCCAAGTTAGTTGAAACTGCAACAATTTAGTTTTCCTTTTGCTAATCCAGTCCCTACTGTTCACAGTCCACAATATTTTAAGATATTTTACCTTTGCATAGCCCAGCATTATCATGCGTACCAGGGCCACATTCATGTGTACTCCAAGGGACTCATCATGGTAAATTTCATTCACCTAGAAACAAAGCAGAAAATTGTCAAAAGAAAAACAACACAAAGGACTACATGAGATGTGCAACATTTAAGGGACCAACTACGTAAGTCATGACAAGTACTCAAGTCAAATAACWTTTTTTTTTATTTAGTTTAAGCTGAATTCTGAAATGAAGTAGTTTAGCTTTGGAACATTCCTCAGACATGTGAATTATTGATTTTTTTTAAACTCCACAGCAATATGAACATAGAAAATGTACTCACAGTGGGCTTCATGAAGCTCATATAGTGGATTAACTGGGTCAAATGGTGGTTCCATTCCTATAGTTTTTTGAGGAATTTCCATACTGCTTTCCAGAGTGGTTGTACCAATATACAGTCCCACCAGCAATATATGAGTGAATCTTTTTCCTAACATTTATTGTTACTTGTATTCTTGATAATTGCCATTCTGACTAGAGTGAGATGAAATCTCAGTGTAGTTTTAGTTTGCATTTATCTAATTGTTAGAGATGTTGAACAGGATGTAAAATCACATAGTACAGTAACAAAGCCACACCAATGTTTCTAGAAGCTCAATTCACAATAGCTAAGCTATGGAACCAACCTAAATGCACTTCAACAGATGAATGGATAAAGAATATGTGGTTTATGTACACAATAGAGTATTATTCAGTCATATAAAAGAAGGACTTTATGACATTTGCCAGTAAATGGATGGATCTGGAGACTATCAGGCTATGTGATATAAGCCAGACCCAAAATGACAAAAGTTGAATATTTTGTCTGATATGTGGAAGCTAACCCACAATAAATGGGGAATGGGTAGGAATAGAAGTTCAGTGTATTAAAGAAAGGGTGGGTTTGGGCTGGGGTTGTGGCTCACCAACCCCAGTAGAGCGCTCGCCTAGCATACAGGAGGCTCTGGGTTCGATCCTTAGCACCACATAAATGTAAAATAAAGATATTGTGTCCACCTAAAACTTAAGAATAAATATTTAAAAAAAAAAAGAAAGAAAGGGTGGGTTAGAGAAAGGGAAATGAAGGAAAGGGAGTGGGGACAGAAATAGGAAAGACAATGAAATGAATCTGACATACTTTTCCTAAGTACGTATATAAACACAGCACAGTGAATGCCACCATAGTGTATATCCATAAGAATGGTGTTATAACTAACATAAGATATATTTCATACTTGCATAATTATATCAACATGTATTCTATAGTCACATATAACTATATAAAAAGAATTTAAAAAATAAAGCTCATGCAGTGTTTGTAAGCTTCTATGTTTGTGATATAACTCACATGTAACATTCAGCAAAAGCAACTACAAGAGGGTATCCCTGGTGCTGCAGCCATATTGGAGAAATGAAGACAGCAGGCATTTTCCACTAGAGTGTCCACAAGGCCAGCAGGGGTGTGATGTCTGCTTGTGGGGGCTCATGTTTGGGGGGTATGTGTGCAGGAGCTGTGGTGGTTTATCTGGGCTCCAGCAAGCAGGTGGCTCTCCCAGTGTCCCACAGGAGTCAAACAGCTGTGGCAATGATGGCTTAGAAGTACTTTGGGGAGGTCCTTCAGTATTTGAATTATTAAGGCATTGAACAAGTGCATATCAGATAAATGTCAACCCTGGATGCAACTCAGAAGGGCTAAACTAAGTCCCTACTTGTTACTTAATTTTTTAAGTTAGGTTGAAGTTTCTAAAAGTGATTTGGTACATTTTAATATCATGGGTGCTGGAATGAGAGCAAACTCAGAGATCACAGTCCAACTCTGTTTACACAGATGAGGAAGATGAGGCCTGTAGAGATTAAGTGACACATAAAACCAGCCCATTATTGGTAGATAGGAATCTAAGGTTGCCTGCAATTACATCTTCTGATTAAGCTGGGGCAAAATGAGTGCAAATAAAAATGCTCAACTTGGCAAATGCTAGGAGAAATGGGAAAGGTGGGGGATCTGCCTAGATTACAAAGTTATAAGCTGTTCCCCAAAGCAAGGACCCAATACTTGTCAGAGTAACTAAAAGGGATGGAAAACTAACTGATGTTCAGACGTAGGCACAATCTAAAACCTGTAGTGAAAAGAATGAAGGAAAGCTGTAAAAAATACTCATGAATCAAACAACTTTGATTTGCCACATTGACCAAGAAACAGATCAAGAAATCTCAGTTGAAATGTTTCAAAAATACAGTATGACTGCTCAGAGCCCCTTAAAAACCAGGGTCCTAAATGTAGACAGAAGGCACATTCACTGAATTTTTAGATAGCAAAAAAAAAAAAAAAAAARAARAAAGAAAGAAAAGAAAAGCAAAGATGGAGGTAAAAGAGCTAATCTAGACTATATTGAGGACAACAAAGTGTAGTTTCATAGGAAAAAGGCAAAGTCCTTTTATGTGGAAAAATGCATTTATATACATATGTACATTTATAAATATACATACACATACAAAGTGCATGTCCATATGCACACAGGCTCACACAATATTAAGACCCAGTTTAATACCTKTCAAATGTAAACCAAGAAGCAAAGGAAAAAATTCTGCAATGTACATTTGCATCACATAGAGGTGCAGGCAGGTAGCTCATGCCCAAGCTGTCCCACTTACGCTGGAGTATACCTGAAGGATTCAGTTGATTTTCCTATGCTGTCTTATAAAAGAGACGTTGATAAGCATCTGAGAACAAGGAGCACAGAAAATGTGTCCTATGAAGAATGGCCAGGGAGATATAGTAGTTAAAAGTCTGGACACCAGACATTGAGTCTCAGATAAATCCTGGTTCAACTTGTCACTGATTKTGAGCTCTGCATCTCTTTGAGTCTCAGCCAAATGAACATAAAAAGAAATGCTACCTCATAAGAATGAAAAGATTTAACTAATGCAACAAACTGCTCAAAAAAAAAATTTCTGATTGAGGAGGGAGAGGGTGTTTACAGGACATTTAGAGTACAGAAAGTACAATAGAAAACCCAGAAAGAAGACTTAATAAAAGTCATATGACAGAGATTTTAGATTTATACTGTATACCTACGGAAAATAGAACTAAAAATCTTCCCCATTAGTAAAGGAGCAAATTTCAGTTCAGTATAAAGAAAGATGGAATGTTAGACAAACGGCCTTTTTGCCCATGGGCAGGTTTTCTCTTTATCTTACATCATACTTTGTACTGTCTAATAGAAGACTAAATCCTCCCCACCTTCCCCTTCTGAATTAATTATTTGATTTTTTAAAATTCCCAACATTATAGTTCCAGTAAAAGCAAAAATTCTATGGCCTGTCACTAACATAGTCATCCAGAGGCTCATGGGTACTTCAAGAGACTTCTTGTAAGTCAGCTGTTTCAAATTAGAGCATGGCTGTACACAGAGGTATTAACATGCACTCAGCTTAATGTAGTCAAAATGTAAACGGATTTGATGTTTTTTAAAAAAAAACAGTTAAAAAGCAATGTTAGAAAACAAGCAAAATAAAGAATAAAACTTTAAAGAAAGTAAATAGGATGAAAAACTGAATTAATTTCTGTAGAAGGAACCATGATAGAGGGTAGGAGGTACTTGCAGCTCTTGCAGAATACCAGTGACAACTACACTGTATCATAGTATGTGCATAAAAGTTATAGAAAAAACCTACACCAGGAGCTTCTATAAAACAAAGGAAACATGGTAGCAAATAGCTTGGGATGTTTTAGTATAAAATGTACATATAATCAGTTTAAATTAGTAAATTCATTTGCACTTGGTGATTTTAAAATCAATATAATGCCAGGAAAAGTATATTGGGCAAAATTTGTGTTCCCAACAGCAATACCACATTATTGAAGGAGTAAAAGGACATTCTTTTTAAGAGTCAAATTAACATTCACTGAGAGAAAAGTATTATTTAACAAAAGTCACCATTATGCCAAGCTAATTTGAAAACAGGGTGCTGCAATAAAAACTGRAGCCAGTTATGAAATGTTCTGAGTGAGCACACAATTATGAAAGTATACATGAAGTATACATTATTATGTGGAATAATAAATATTTTTACATAGCAAGATGGTATTTTCTCAATGTGGCAAATCAGCAGTACCAATTGACTAGAACATGGAAAACTCTGGGTTTAACTTATTATTTTGCTTTCCAAGGCTTAAAAAAGTTGGTTCCTATACATATTTGCTTTTAAAATGTACTGAGTCATTTGGCTGCTTTTCATCTTGCCAAGCCTTATCAATGCCTCAGATTCAGTGATCTTACACTCAAAGACACAGGATAAGACTGGAGGGATAATGCAGCATTGCAGGATTAGATATTCAAAGCTCTGGACTCTGGTCCCAGCTCTGCCACTGATAAGCTGAGTGATCTTGGGTGACTTCTTAAACTCTTTGATGCTTCATTTCATTTCTTTGTTTGCAAATCATAATCTTAGTTGCTTTGCTTGCTTCTTGTTTTGCTCAAATCAGGCAAGACACCATACAACTACATTCAGCAAAATACAAACAAAGTACTTCAGCACCAGCCACCTACCCCTGCAAAAAGTACTACAGATACATTTTCATAATCTACCTGAAAAGATAAAGTCAAATAATTGCCCCATCATAGTTTTCATTGAAAGGGAATTTAAGTTGCTTCTTTTTGAATTTTTTAAAAATCTCAAACAAATGAAAGATGTAATTTAAATTATCAAGAAAATTATTGGAAAAATCCATTTGACCCTTTTATTTTTGAAAACATGCTCTAAAGATTGCAGAAAAGCTCCTTCCAGCAGATGGCAGTATGCACATTTTGCAGCAGGTAAGGGACAATCGTACCACATACCATATACCAGTTGGTAAGTCTGTCTTTCCCTATATTAATACACAGGTAAAATAACTTCCTTAAAGTTAAATACAATTTTAAAGTATACTGGGTAAAATGCTAAGTTTTGAATGCTCAGTTGACCCTTAAAAAAGAAAAATACTGGAAAAATTTATTAAGTTGTTTTTATGTCATCTAATCACCATATTATATGAGTTATAAAGAAATCCTCATGATCAGCT